TAAGCTTACCTTGAATGTATTTCATCATTCTGATGCAACAAATACCAACACAATGCATAGAGAACCATCAGTTTTGTTGTTGTTGTTGTTTTTTTTTTTTTTTTCTGGCTGGCATGAACTCTATTGTAATGATGGACTCATCTTGTTGAAACAACAGATTCTTCCTTTCATTTCAGCTCCATCTGACTCCTAAACCTTCACATATTCTGTCTTAGAGGAATGCCTGTATTTACCTAAGGCATCTAGGCTGATTAAAATAATTAATTCCATCAGTATGACTTGAGTTTCAGGCCTTATGCAGTGCAGGGATATAGGGAAGATGGGAAAAAAAAAACTTAGGGATTAATATCAGCTACTCAGAGTTATCCTTGTTTCCATGACCATATTTAAATGAAAAACCAGAATATTAAAGCTCTGATGAATCTCTCTAGCTGACATACGCAATGCATGTGTCCACTTTTCATGACTGGAGCAAGTTGTGACTATCTGAGGAAGAGAGGAGGAAGTTGAATCCTGGTGTGCTTGTCCTTGCTCTATGCTGCTCTTTCTTTTTGCTATTTCCAAACTCTAAGGGATGGAATTAGCACATAAAGATTATCTAAATAAGTGTTAATACATTAAAAGGCATATTGCCATTAGTTCCCCTCAAAATCCAACATCTCAATTTGAACAAACATGTCCCATAATACTTGGAATTTATGAAGCAGAAATCTGACCTAACTTCAGTGTAAATAAACCTGTAGTCACTATGTTCTCTGCCACTGAAACTCAGATAAATTATATGGCTTGTCTGTGAATTAACATTTCTCTATATGTGCCAAAATCAACACTGTTACATATAGCTATGCTCACCACAGATACCTGTTGTACAGTGTCCTTAAATTGTTACAAGGAACTTATCTTAGTCTTGTGACCTCTGTTTGGCAACTTAGAAAAAACAAATTGTGTAAATCTCTCCTCAGAATGCAGATAATTCCCCCACTAGTCACATGTTTGTTTGTTTGTTTGTTTTTTCTTCTCCTGAGCTCCTGGCTACTGTTGACTCAATTTTTCCCACAACACTTTTGAAGCAGTTCTGGAAGTCCTGTTATAAGAGTGTCTTGAATAGTCACCATGGTTTAATGAACTAATGGCTTTTCAGAATTTTTCAAGTGCTTCCAGCAGTCATTGGACCTAGTCATGGTCTTGGAGACTCCTAGCACTCAGGTGATATCAGACATTAATGAGTTCTTGGATGTCACCATGTAAGAACAGAGGTATTCTGTAGTGAAAAGAATCTTAATGGCTACTAAAAAATCAGTATTTTGTTGAGTGAAATTCTGTATTGTTTCAGATTTTTTTTGCAGTACTGGGGATTGAACTCAGGACCTTGCACTTGCCAGGCAAGAACTTATTCTACTGAGCTATCTCCCCGGCCCTGTTTCAGATTTTTTTTCATTATCTGTATTTTGTATTCTCTTGAAAGAAAGAATCAGCTAGAAAAGTCTGGTGTGTAATGAATTCTGATTATTGTTCTTTTCATCACTCTTTTCAAAAAGGGGAACTATGCCAAGAGTTCTAAGAGTTCAGGATGCCAAGCTAAGTGCCATGAAGATGCATTCTCTGGGCTAAGTTGAGTCTTCAACAAAATAAATGCACTTAACAGGGACTCTGGTTTAGCAGAATTAAAGGTAGAATTTTTATTTCATTAGTTTTGAATAAAGATGTCTATTGTAATCGCTAATGCTTGTCCTGTAGGGCCGGTAATTCGGTCTTTAACTCACTGGTCTTTGGGTAAAAAGGAACATTGAGCACTGACAGAAGAGACTTACCTGCAGCACATCACATGCCCCTCAATTTTCTTAGAACAAAGTCCTGAAACTCTAGCTATCTGAGAATGATATCAAAAAAGGATGAGATTTTTGGAGGGAAGTGCATCACAATGGAATTGTGGGTTCATTTTGGCTGGGAATAAGACATGTTCAAGGTGTGACATACAGTACTGTTTTCTGAAAATTACAGCATTATATCGCCTGTTCACAGCTTGTGTTTATTAATCCCTGTCTCATTGCTGGGACTCTATACCCAGCACCCACAGTGGAAAGAAGGAAAGGTTTGTTCTGACTCCCATTTTCAGTTCTTGGTCTTCTGGCTCTCAAGAAAGAAAGAAAAGCTGTGGTCCAGACAGTGACTCATATCATAGCAGCCCAGAAAGAGAGAGAAGATGGAGGAGTCAGGGAGGGAGGCACAGCTTTCTGAGTGAAAAGCAAGAACTTATCTCTTCTGTTCATGCCTGACCCTGATAATAAAGTCAGCTTAATTCCCCCATAATAGAATCAGTGCAAAAACCCCAACTATAAACACACGAAGCTTTTGGGAATCATTCTAGATCTGAACCTTAGCATTTTGCTCCTTGCTCATGCAAGACTCGTGTTCATTTCTTTATGTAAAATGCACTTAGTCCATCCCAATGAGTTGCAAAGTGTTTAACATTTTCAGCAGTGTTGAAAAGTCCACACTTAACCCATCTGCTAAGACTCAAGGAAATCTCACTTTTGAGACCCGGGAAAAATGCAAAACCCTTCCCACATACATTGTCACAGGGCACACATTTTTATTCTAAAAGCTGGAAATGACTACAAAAATGTATGTGACCGAAGCAAGCTGAAGACCCAGAAAGGCAAGCACAGCTGCTCTTCAAGGTAGGGAAATAATGGCTGTATTTACAATGCTCACGACTAGCCTGTAGTTTTGATATGCACCTTGATTTCCTTCATAAACCAGTAGAGCAGGGTGCTGCTTGTAGCTGGCTGCTCTTCTCCCCACAGCTGTCAGCCTGCTCTGGGAAGGAAGCTGGGTGGTGCTCACACCCATGAGAGGACGGAGTGGCAGATGCCTTCAGCCCTCCAGCGCAGTCCTCACTGGGCTTGGCCCTGGTGAGTGACCCTGCCAACTCCAATTCACTTCATTTGTTTTGTAAATGCTTTAAAGTTGCATTTCAGTATTACTTATTTTTCTGCAATGTTTTTATAAAGTGTATACTGTGCAAACAGCACTATGTCCAAACTGCAGTTAGTAAAAAGTGTGAAATAGAAGTAACATTTTTCTTCCACTACTGAGATGGTATAGTTGTTACTATTCCCATCTAAGCTAGGTGACTGTGGCTGACACTATTTTCCTTGGTTGTTTCTTTTGAGAAATGGTCTTTCTGTATAACTCAGGCTGCACTGAACTCATGATCCTCCTGCTTCAGCTCCCTGGTGTTGGAAATACACAAGTGTACAACAATGCACAGGTGGGAGATACTATTCCAAAGCAAAAATACTTTCTGCACAACTGGGGTCTGATTCTAGGCTCCCGTGCAAGCCAGGCAGTGTTCTACGAGGAGCTGCACACTCAGACCTCAGAACAAAACTTTCGCGTACATGAAATCAGCAAAATCACAATGACACAATTTTAACTTTCAAAAGACCTCAGGTATGAAGATGAATGTGGTTGTATGTGGAAAGTGAAAATATAATCCCTTTAATTCACCTAGAAAACAATGTTTATAACATATAAGTAAATAAATCCTTAAAGTAGTGAGTGCATTTTAGCCACCAATTTTTCTGATAACAAGAATAATCAATATTTTTTCCTGTCACAAAAGGTCTGCAAAGTGATTCAAGTCACATCATCGAGGGCTGTAACCCCCACAAAATATTTTCTCAGCATATATTGTGTTCATATTTTATCATCCTCAAAGTACATAATTTGAAAATTTAATTAAAAATGAATTTGGAAATTAAAAAAAGGTGACTGGGGAGATGGCTCAGTGGAATAAGTGCTTCCCTGGCAAGCACAAGGGTCTGAGTTCAATCCCTGGTTCTGCCAAAAAATAAAAATTAAAAAAAAATGAATTTGGGTTTTTCCATTTCTTCTACAGTAAATTTGAACTTTGAACATTAGTTGACATTATCTTATTTCTTTGTACATTGGAACATGTAGCATGTATAAATACAGAACATAAATTTAACATAAAACACCTGTTTTAGGCTAAAGCCTATATCCTTCATCTCTATGGATGACTCCCAGGTGGTTGCAGGTGCTGGGCATGCACTCCAGCACTGAACTACTCCACAAAGAGCACAGGGGTACCTAATGATTGTGATAGGTATTTGTGTTTTTGTGTTCCATTAGAAAGCTTGAATCTGAAGAAAGCATGTCATCATGAAGGACAAAGCTTTCACAGATGAGGAGCAGATCTACTGGTGGAAACAGAGAGGAGAGAAGGGAGTGAAAAGAGTCAAAAAGATTAATAAGATGTGATGTTTAGGGACTAGGGAGACAGCTCAGTAGAATATGCAGCTGCCTGGCAAGCGCAAGGTCCTGAGTTCAATCCCTGGTACTGCAAAAATAAAATAAAATAAAATTTAAAAAGAAAGAAAGCTTGCATTGTTACTGTGCTAGCCACTTTCACTCTGCCAGGAAGGGGCCGACCATAACATAAAGAGGGGCACGCTTTACAGTGTCCAGGGAGTTCAGGGCAAGCTCAGCAGACCACGAGGCACGACGCACTCTAGGAAGGACCTGGTGTGTGTGCCTCCTCCCGTGGCATCCCGGAAGCACAGACAACAGGAAGAAGCTGTGAACACAGAGACACCATCCCGGGTGTGTCCCCAGTGAGCCACCAGCTCTGAACAAATGCTACCTCCTCAAAGCACAGTCAGCTCAGGACTTGTCCTGGCTTGAATTCAGGGCTGAGTGCAATGCCTCTGAGCTGATCACCATTTAAACATAGGCGACTTTGGACGGGGATTATAGCTGAGATTTATAGAAACTGTTTCTCATAATATCAGCTCTTTTATGCAAGATCAAAATTATGCAAAACAACAGAGTAATCTTTAAAAAATAGAGTCATCTTGAACTGTTTAACCATCTCAGGTATTATATATACTTACATAAAGCATACGGAATAACTCAAATTGCTAATAAGCTGATTGCTCACACCATGTCTATGACTAAGGTGGATAAAAAAAATCCTACTTGAGTCCCAACACACTGCCTGAGCACGTTCTTGTCATGAGAGTCCTGATGGCGCGCTTTATCTGCTCATTCCTGAGACTGTAGATAACAGGGTTGAAGAGAGGGGGGACTACGGAATAGAGCACCGAGAGGACCATGTCCCTGATGCTGGTGGACGTGCCCGAGGGGCTCAGGTAGACACAAAAGGCCGAGCTGAGGAAGACCGACACCACCAGAATGTGCGGCACGCAGGTGAAAAAGGCCTTCTTCCTGTCTGCGCCCACCGGTAACCGGAGCACACTAGAAAAGATATGAATGTAAGACTTGATGATAAAAGTGAAGCAGCCACCACCAAACACCAGAAAAGAGACGAGAAGGCTGAGGCGGTTGCCGAAGGTGTCCGAGCAGGACAGCTTCAGCAGCGAGGGGATGTCGCAGAAGAGCTGCTGCACAGCATGCGAGCGGCAGAAGGGCAGCCGGAAGGTGCTGCTGGTGTGCAGGCCTGCATAGCCGAGGCCACTGAGCACAGAGGCCAGCGTGGACAGCACGCACAGGCGCGGGCTCATCACGGAGTGGTAATGGAGGGGCTTGCAGATGGCCGCAAAGCGATCGTGAGCCATGACTGTGAGGAACAGCAGCTCAACAAATGTGCAGAAAACCACCAGGAAGACCTGGGCGGCACACCCGGCCTCTGAAATAGAGCTGCTGCCCCGCAGAGAGTTAATGCAGGACTTAGGGACCGTGACAGAAATGAAGCACGAGTCCAGGACGGACAGGTTTCTGAGGAAGAAGTACATGGGTGTGTGGAGGCTCTGGTCAAGCGTGGTGACCACGGCTATGCCAAGGTTTCCCATGATGGTCACCAGGTAAATCAGAGAGAAGAATGTGGCATGGAAAACCTGTAGGTCTCGTAGGTGAGAAACCTCCATGAGGAGAAAGTCCGTTGTGGTGGTGGAGTTGGACATCAGTAGGAGGTGGTGCCTGGACCTGGGAGGAAAAGACAGAAGTGCTTGGCCCACGCAGAGCAGTATGGGAAATTTCTTCATAATTATTAGACTCCTGTCCCTGGATTACGTGTGTTCTTGATGCCTGGCTCTTCTAATACTTCATAGTGGTACTCCACTTGCAAGAATTCTCTCTTTTAATTTGAGCAGACCTTCATTGTCAATACTGCTATTTGTATAATTTCCTTCAGCATTGAAATTTGTGGAACCAGCTCTCTTCCACAGATTGGTAAAGCTCTTGACATAAATGTAAGACATGCTTCTTTTAATACTAAGTATGGTGTTATGTCATTTCTTAATTGGCTTATTTATGTATTTGTACAGGATCTACAAGTCTACAAGGTCTCGCTACACAGAGCAGACTCATGGTGATTCTCCTGTTCAGCCTCCCAAGCACTGGGATTACAGGCGTGTGCCGCCAGGCCTAGTCTCAATCACCGCCTCAGTGCGCCCCGGGGCAGGGCCAGCATGCCATGCGGAGCCAGGAATCCAACCCCAGTGCTGGCATCTGCCAAAGCAGGAATTTGAATCTGCTAAGCTATCTGACCAGCTCCTAATTAGTTGTTTGATGGTTTTTAAGTAGCTAATGATGGGCACAAATGTCAATATTTCACAGTCATTGCAACAATATCACAACATTATCAATAAAGGAAAAATAAATGCGTTCTAATTATTTGAATAAGGAGAAAAATTAAAAACCGTCAATATTATGATCATAGTTCTCATACAAAATTCAAAACTCCATCATGGAGTGAAAATAAGCTCTCCCTCTCCCCATCCACACACTCTTGCTTTGTGTCTGGATTGAACCTCGGCCCTAGAATGCTCTGTGTTCTAAGGACTTAGTGTACCAGCGAAATAGCTTTTCCGGGGAGCACAAGTCGTGGGGATCGTTGAATGCTTGCTTCTCTGAGTCATGAAAAATACTGCATTGTCTGTCTCTGTTGTAACGTCTGTCTCAGTCTCTGTCTCTTTTCTGTCTCTGTCGCAATCTGTCTTTCTTCCATCTTTCTCTTGTTCTTTCTGTCTCACTCAGGGTAAAACTGTGTGAGATGTACAAATCACAAATAGGGAAAATACTCAGGACATCAAAAGTACCCTGAAAGCTCCACTGTTATCACTGTCAGAAATATTGCCGTCCTGCTTGCTGTTGTCCCTATTTTAGATTATATGCATGAGCACACACCATTTACATAAATTTTAATCTTTGACCCTCATCCTTCAAAGTTCCTGATAATTTGCCTCCGCTGGGCTCCGATCAGGCTCTTGGAGCTCCTCCCTTACCGGTGGTCCTTCTGTGTTCTCAGGCAACTGTTGTGCTCTTCCTAATTTGGAGGTTCTGTTTGCAGCAATATATCCTCATGTATTATCCTTGAGGAGTGAGTTAGAATCACTTTTCCCTATATTTTTATTCTGTTGATATTATATGAACTTGCTATATGCAAAATTCATGAATTGCTATGCCAGGACACACAACATGGGGCTACCAATTTTAAGCAAGAGCAGTTTTCCTGTGGGTGACCCCTCTGACCTGTGAAGAGTGGGGCAGGCAGACTACAGTAGATCTGCGAACTTCTCACAACCTTTGAACATGATACTTTCTTCACTCAAGATTAATGTCCTGTCCTAAAACATAATGATTTACATTGCTATGATTTTTGTGTTTCTTCAATTACCCTATCATTTTTTTCTTACAACAAATATTTACCTAATACTATTACAGGAATTGTAAGAGTAGTAAAGCAAACAGGTATCTTTGAATCTCATGAAATTTTAATTCCACTACAGTAGACTAACACTACCAGTTGAAATTCCCAGTTAATCTAATTCTAATAAACTCAAGTGATTTTCTGATGATCAAGAAATGGTGAGTGCTCTAAATGAAGGAAGCAAAACTTTGTCAACTGAATGATGACTTTTTTGAACCTAGAAGTAGACCATGGAAATAAAGTCTTAATTTTCTTTCCCTCAAAACTCTAACTTCTTTAATTATTTGTAGTGTAAACCATAGTGATTATGTTGAACTACTTTAATGATAGATAAATGCTAAGTACTTCCATACATTGGTTAGAGAGACTGAACTTTGAATTCTGAAGTATAACCTTCCAAAGAGTTAAAATCTATACCATGAAAATGTTGTTATCCTTAGTGAACTAAAATAGTAACATTTCAAAACAACTTGGCCAGAGTGTAGGCTAGAATTTCATGACTTATGATACTTCATTTTGTGTAAATATCTAAAAGGCTAATCTGAAGAATTTTGTGCAAGATATGCAAGTGTTTATGGGATTATGAGAGAAATCTGTTGCTACATATTTGGTATATACTGAACGTTAGACGTATTCAGAGACTCATCCTAACTGTACTTATGTTTTCTCATACATTTAAAGTCGGTTTTCCTGAGAGAGTATTTCCATTAACAATTTGCAATCATGAATCCACTATGAAATCTATAACCCTATTCTCTTTGGATTAGAACTGAAATTATAAATTTTTTGTGAAGTTGTCCCAAATGGAAACTTGGCGAATTAACCACAGGGAATGAATGCCTAAATATATAGTTAGATCACATGTTATTAATGTATGGATGTAATTTAAAGATTTGTAAGCATGTAGGTTTCTAACATGAATAAGTGATAACTTTATGGCACATAAATTCAATGTCCCCTATGAAATAACATGGCTGTTTTCCCCTTGAAAAGAAAAATGTCTTGATGATTTGTCAAAGAATTGACATTGAATGTTTACATTTCCACAAGCAAAGAACCTCAAATTATTCTTTGAATTAAATGATTTCATGTCATCAATAAATAGTCTGCTTCTACACAATTCTGTACCATTTTCAGTATTTTTTCTTTTATTTACGTTTATGCTTTTTATTTTGTTTTTATTTTCATATAAAATGAAGCCTCACTATTAAACAATTTATGTAAACAAGGCACATAGTTTTGTCAAAATTCATCACTCCACCTGTAAAGTAAGTGCTAACTGCAATAGTCCTGCTCTGTATATGGACATTTGAAGGTTCCCAGAATAAACTGCTGCTTGCTGCAAAGCATCACTTCAAATCTTTGTACACATACTAATTTGAAAAATACTTCAGATTTCTTTAAGTAACTGTCAATAAATATTGAAGACATTGCTCTCTTCCATATTCTAACTTTTGAAATTTACTTCTTTTTAAAGATTTTTTTTTTTTTTTCAGAACAAGGGATTGACCTCAGGCCCTTGCGCTTGCCAGGGAAGTGCTTATTCCACTGAGCCATCTCCCTGGCCACGACTTTTCTTTCTTTAAAGTGAAAACAAAATTTCAAAACAGGATAATAGGAGAGTACTGTCGGTAAATACATTTTATAGTGTTATCTTTAAATTAGTTACTCAGAGTAGAAGTTATCGGCATTTAATTATACAAATAAACTTAACATAAACTATTCTTTTCACTGAACTAAGGGAAATTAGGAGTATAAATATCTTTCTTAACTGTCTTTTTAATATGCATTTTTGTTTGTTTATTTCCCCTTGCCTCTTTAGAAAGCCTCACATTCTATGTGACAGAACAGCCTCCTTCCGAAAGCACGTAGTTTTTGATGTAAACATTTAGTTTTCCTTTTGTCAAATCTGCCGACCACTGCAAAGCATTATAGTCAAGTTTTTGACTAACCCAATGATAGTAAGATATGTAATAGATATTTTTCATGTGCAAATATTTCCAAA